AACGTGTATGGTTTAAGGCCATTTGGTTTTAAAGTATTTAAGTATTCTTCTTGGTAGAAATTATTGGTATCATTTTCTAATGAATCAAAAACTGAAAAAACATTTTGTTTTTACTATAAAATTTTACAATCAACCTTTTATTTAGTTGATCAACATATTCATTTCTAGCTAAGATATCTTTTTAATTCTATTATGCATTTTGCACAAATTACATTTTAATCTAATGATAAAAAATATTTCTCATATTAAATGCACTATTATTACCATTGGGATTGACAACCGAGTGTTTAAGAAGAACCAAATCATCTTTTATTGGATGCTCTTCTTCGTTTTCGACACGGCAAGAAGACACTAAATATTGGATCTATTCTTACTTTATATTTCTTGTAAGTTGAATCTTTTTCGTTTGAGGCCAGAAGTATAACTTTGGCAAGCTAGCTTTTACAGTCTCTGCCTTTATCGATTTTGGAACTACTGGTAGTACTTGACAGAAATCGCCTCCCAAACCATTAATTTTTCACCAAACGATTCATTAATATCCAACATATCTCTAGAACTTCGGTCAATTATTCTGGTCGTTTGACACTTAGCCATAAGTGTCTCATCCCATATTATCAATTTTGCTTTCCTTATAAATTTATCACCATTGCTCTGTTTTGGTCTATTTGTGATGGTTATATAAATTGTTTGAAGAGGTATATCAAATCTACAGTAATTGGTCTCACAATAAAATCGTTATGGGTACACCACTTGCTATTGTTGTTAATAGTGTCATGCCTCTTGATATGATATTTGCAAGTAATGCAAGACATACAAATATTATTTCAATTCCGCCAGAGGCATCTACAAAGAATAATCGAGTTATACCAGAGTCGACTCTTTATAATATAGTCTTGAAAACGTATTCTTGTTTAGGATTTAGCTTTGATTGTGCTTCCTCAGACACTTGTATATAGTATTTTGATTCTTAATAATTTACTAACCTTTTTACTTTGTGTTTAACGATGTTTTTTATGGAATAAAGTTATGTACCCTAAGATCTTTTTTAACTTGAATAAGAATTTTACTCGTATGATGAATTTAAAAAAATAATTGAATTGGATTCTCTTGCTAAATAATTAATTAAAAGATTTAATTATTTGATTTTAACATAAAAAATAATTTATTCTTTGTTGATTCAGATCTTAATATTAGTTCATCTCTTGTTTTGAATATTTAATCTTAATTATAATTTTATCCACTATAAATTTTATTTTCAAAGAGTAAAAGATTGATATGACATTTCACTTTTAGATCTTTATGTTTATAGAATCATTAGTTTTATTGACTCTCACCAACCATTTTTTTTATCTTTCTCACACATTTATTCTAAATATCTTCTTAGTTGTTGTTTAATAATTGAGTATTTTTCAAGATTACATGAAAAATTGATTAAAAAGTATTATTTGAGTAGGAAAATAGTTCAAATATAATATAAAAATATATTATCGTGGGGGTATTTTTTTCTTCTCAATTTCAACTCTTTATGCATTCTATTTAATATTACTTTTATTTTTTCTTCGTATAGGATATTATGTAGTGGTAATGTATTGCCAAATCGGAGGCTTCAATTATGAAATTGATTTTATTAAACCTTCCTACATATTTTTAATAATAATTCAATAGACAAGATTTTATTAATTTTATATATTAAAAATTAACATAGAAGATATTGTAGTTCAAAAAATAGGTTATTGCAGTTATGTCCTTTCCCTATGAGTTCTTCCGATTAATAAATATAGAGTTATAAATAAATTTGGACACAAAATTTGTTCCTCTACATTGTTGGAACCAAATTGTAAAAATTATCACGTGGATAAGTAAATGGGTCAAATTCATTGTTAGACTTCACTCCCGAAAATAACAATAAGTCCTTTTGCATTTAATTTGAAGCTAGCGTGAGTAGTAACCTAAAACTAATAGGATTATAAGGCTAATATCTAGAATTCCAGTTTTGTCCTTTTATTATGAGTTATTATGCTTAATATTATAAGCTTATTTTTGTAAACCGACATTGTATTCATGCTTTTATAATAATATAATTTAAACTTTAGTGTAAATATTGAGTATTCTTATTTACATAGTTTCTTTAAGTCTAAAAAGTAAGTTGGTATATATATATATATATATATATATTATATATATATATATATTATATATTATATATATATATATATATATATATATATATATATATATATATTTTTATTGGTGTGTGTGTGGATGTGTGTGTGTGTGTTTTATCTTCTTTTATTTAATTAAAAAAAAGGGGTTAGGAAAAATTAAATAAATATATATAAAGTTAAAAAAATAAAAAATAAACAAATAAAACCACCCAACTTTCCCACTTCCCCACTTCACTCATGCCTCACCCCCACTCCCTCAGGTCATGTGCACACACAACACATGATCTCCATAATTTCCTATTTACCTAGTTAATCTATAAATAAAAGAGAGCACAAAGAACGAAAAGGGGAAGATCTGACAAAAAGCAAACTAAAAGAACGAAAAGAAAAAAGAAGGAACAGAAGTCAGAAGACAAAGAAATAAGAAAAAAAAAAGAACGAAAAAAGAAAGAGAAAAATTGAACGTGAAAGAGAAAAGGAGTTTGAAGACGGAGTTCAAGATTTCGTTCGCGGTTCCGAATTCAAGGTTCTAGAAAAGTTAGCATTGCTAGCTTGGAAACCAGTAGTTGATTGTAGATATTCTCTTTATTGTGAAATCTTACAAAAGGTAACACTCAATATCAATGTCTTCGCAAAGTTTGAATTTTAATTCGTTTTTGTGAATACGTGTGAACAAATATATATATATATATATATATATATATATATTTATCTTTCTTGGTATGTAATATTTAATACGTGTGAACAACTTCCATACTAATTCATGAATTGGGAGGAGCCTATTAATAAAGGAAAAAACTTTTGCGACTAAGGTTATTCTTTCAATTTGCTAGTTTTTCAGGTTTTATCTAACCACTGTTACATATGCAGCAAGAAACACTTCTTTTTGTTCGATGAGCAAATAGAAATGCTTCTTTTTATGACATCATTTGCTCCCAGTGCTCGGTTATTCTTCTGTTGGTTGGTATTTGTAATAGATTTTGTGATATTTTTACTCTTGGATTTAGTGATATATTGTGGTATAAGAAGCGCTGGCAGTTCATATATAGTGTCGAGAGATCTTCTTCATTTCTTTGTTTACATCCTACGTAACAGTTCATATTGTTATAAGATTGTTAGCGACCTAGCAATCTTAAATTTTCTGAACAAATGGAGCTAGTACGTAGGAGTTTTCTTACTAAACTAACATGAACTTAGCCCATGTGTTCACTGTTAATTTATCTATTTTTGTTATATATCCTCGTCAATTTGATTGATGTTCTATTGCTTAGCCCATGTGTTCATACCCGAACCTTGGATTAATATACTTAAATAATAAAAGGATCATGTGCGCATTCCGCGCTTCGATGTCTTTAGATTTAAAATAATTATGTTATAACCATGTGTACATTCCATATCTTGGTTTGACATTTAATTTCAAAGAAGTACTTTATGTGCGTTCCGCATCTTAGTGAACACAATTTATAAAATATAATAATTAATTAAGCGGTAATAAATAAGTCATAATCAAGAAAATACAAGAAAAGTTAAAAACTGATTTAAGCCTTACATTAGTCAATAAAGTGACCGTGCTAGAACCACGGGACTCGAGGGGTGCCTTACACCTTCCCCTCGGTCAACAGAACTCCTTACTCAGTCTTCTGTTTTCGTAGACCTTAAATTAGGAGTCAAACCTTCCTTTTGATAAGGGATTCAAATAAAAAGTGACTTGGAACACCAGAACTCAATTCCAAGTGGCGACTCTAAATAATAAATAATCCCTTTTCAAAATGTCTCTTCAATTGGAAAAATTCTTCTAACTCAACCTCGTAATAGGTTGCGGAAAAAAAGAGAGGTGTGACATCAATAATTGAGAGGAGAACGATAAGGTTTCAGGTTCAAATTTCAGCTAAGGCAAAAATCATGATTTTCTTCTAGTTGTTTAAGCCATGGTGGCTAGAAATACGTGATATCTATGTTGGTCGAAGGTAGTATGAATTCGTTGGAATAGTTAAAGTGTGCGCAAGCTGATAAATACCAATAGTAATTAGAAAGATGAGAAAAAATTGTCTAAATGCATCAAGGTATGGCCTAGTGGTCAATGAATTGAGAGGAAAAGGACAAAGTTTCAGGTTCAAATTTTAGCTGAGGCAAAAATAATTAAGTGATTTTTTCTAGTTGCTTAAGCCATGGTGGCCAGAATTATTTGATATTTATGCTGATAGAAAGTAGTTAGTATAAAACTTGACAACAAATGTCAAGGGTTAGAAGTAACCATGAAAAAGACAAGAAAGAAAAAAAAGAAGCAACCATGAAAAGGTAGGACAAGAGGACAAGTGAAAATGACAATTTAGAATACCTTGTCTAAACACTCCTTTACATCTTTCATTATGGTTAAAAAAAATTCTAACCACTTTGATACATCCAAAGTGAGCAAATGAGGAAGATCCAAATACTAAGTAGGCGTTTGGACAAGAATTTCAAATTATTTTTTTCAAATTTGGAATTTCACTAAAATCTGAATTGAAGATGAAGTTGTGTTTGCTTATAATTTTTGCAATATATTCGGATGTCTTTTTTTCAACATATTTTGCAACTAAAAATTAGCAACCTTCTCATTTTCAATTGAAAAACTGGTTCTCACCAGTTTTTTCAAATTTTGAAAATACATTTTCAAAGGAGATTGGAATAATTGTAAGATTTTGATAATCAAACACTGTTTCAAAAAAAGATCTAATTATCTCGAAATTGGGCCATTCTTTCTCGAGAGAGGCCGGCGCCTTTTCTCATTCCAATGGTCTTCTACTTGTAGTCGACTGCTCTATGAGTTAGCTCAACAAACGTAAAAGTCAATTGTTACCGACAAGGACGAGGTGGCGCGGCGGAGACTTTCAAACGACAAAGAGGGCAAGAATCACATATAGAGAGCCATTTGGTAATGCAATTTACATGAAAAATATGGCCACAAGGGACTTGTTTGCCATTATCAACACCTTTTTGAAACCCTTCCATGCATACTATACAAAGGCCAACTTCATAATTTATAACCATAGGAAATTCTTGAACTTGAATCTCATCCTCGTCGGAAAGCGTCGAACACCGCGGCGCCTCAGCCGTGCTGTCCGGAATTCCCACCACCGTTAAAGCCAAATCGAGATCAAAATCTTTATCCATATTGGAAATCTGTAACTGATGACTGATTCTATTACTAGTTGTCTATATATAGATGCAATAAACCCACCATCATGCTATACTTCTTTGGGTTGGTAGGACAACCACCTTAGTGTCATGAATTTGTCTTTCTAGTTTTTTTTTATATTAAGGGAGCAGTGGCGTAACAGGTAAAAGTTGTTGTATGTGACCAGGAGGTTACGGGTTCGAGCAGTAGAAATAGTCTCTTGCAAAAATACAGGGTAAGATTGCGTATATTACTCTTCTGGTCCGGGGAGGTCACGGGTTCGAGCCGTGAAAATAACCTCTTGTAGAAATGCAAGGTAAGATTTGCGTACAAAAAAGCCTTATGGTCGGATTCTTTTCCGAATCCCGCGCATAAAAATTAGTGCACCGAATTGTCTTTTTAGTTTCATAAACAATATATGTCCGCAAAAGAGAGTGTACAATTACGTAAATAGAATAGACAGTGTCAGTTGACCAAGAAATTTGGTTAAAGAAAACAATATAAAAAATATGTTAAGTTCATCTACGCACGTAAGGAAAGAAAAAGTCATTGTGTTCATATCTATAGAGTCTTTTTTTCTCTTTATATATATCTATAGAGTCTTGACATTATAAATTTATTGCTCCCTGTGGTTTCATTTTATAGTACGTATATTATAATTAATGTGTAATTCCCTCCGTTTCATTTTATATATTACATATTTGAATTGAGCTCGAAATTTAAGAAAGAAATACTTTGGTAGATATCGAAATTAACCTTAACTAGAATTTGTAATCTTAAATATGACATGATATGTGGTCATATATAGTATGAGGATTATAATACATGGATTGAATAAAAATGAGATTTCCGTGGATGATATACTTCTATAGATATATATTTGATTCATTAGATTAAAAATGGAATTTACGAGGTATGATATAATACTTGCACTAGATAAACCTAAATATACTTTTATTTTCACTAGTATTAGTGTACGCGCGTTGCGCGTGTTCTTCGTGTTAATGAACAAAATTTTTAAAATAACAAATAATATTTATCGGTTAGAAAAAGTTAACAATAAAACTGACTGTCTATTTGTGTAAATTCCCTATTTTTTTAATCAAAACTATGTTTTACACACACTTTTTTTTACGTGCCTTAGCTAAAAACAATTGAATTATATTTATTGCGTCCTAATTGAACTGTGTCTTTTTTAACGTCCTAACTGTTAACTATAATTGAACTATCGTTAACAATTTAAATAAGAAATTGACTTATGTAAGTAAAAATTTCTTGACTTTATATTCCTAAATATTAGAAGTTCCTACATAATTTAAATAGGAAAGAAAATTTTAGTTGATTTCAAGGTACTAAAAATTACAAAAATTATTTAATTACGATTTTGTCTAGTGTGAACCCTATTTTTAAGGCCATTTCAAAGTCATAGTCTTAGTGTAGGTGCTTTGCACATGTACCCATAGCAATATATACAACTTTAAAAAATTACATTATTACATGTACCCATAGCAATATTACAGATAATAATGTATTTAAGTTATAAATTAAAAGTAAAGGAAAAAGTGTAAGCTCCAAAAAAATTGATAAGTGATTATGTAAAGTTCAAAATTGACTATCGTTAATTTACTATTTATAACATACAACTTAATACTTTATAGCTAATCACAAAAGAAAAAGAAGAGAAGTAGAGAAGCATACCTAGAAGGGCTGATGGATGTATGTGTTTAGATACTTTCAAACGTGATAAATTCTTTTTTAATCCAAATTCTCAAATAGCTTAATCTTTTGTCTAAAAGAAAATTGAATAGAATGGGATAAGAAAAGGAAAATACATTAGCCGAAATTTTGAAAGATGTTATTCGATAAGAAAGGAAAACTGAATATTAGACATAAATTTTAACCAACATAATTTTTTTCTTAAAGAAATTGAATTGGATGGTTAATAAGGGGAAAAAAGGCTTAAATGGAAAATAATTCTTCCAAAGCAATATAAAAGCATCAAAAACAAAAATAACAACAAACTAAAACAAGAAAAGACTATCAAAACTTATAATATTATTCTAAAGAACGATAAAGAAAAGCTTAATGAATTCACCTGCTAAGGAGCAATTCATAACTCGTCAAGCAAAGTGCCAGATCAACATGTCTTTTTATATTATTTAGTAAAACAATTTAGAAGGAATTATAATTAAGATTATATAATATAAATAAGGAACAAATTTATGTGAGTAAAATCGTGTGTATATATAGTTCAAATACAAAGAAAAATTTATCAAAAATAAAGACTCCCAAATTGAAAAGGAGTTCAAGTGCTCGTTCACCTAATCTGAAATCCAATATCCTAATATATTTTTATAAAAAATTAATATGTAAAAATTCATTAATTAAAAAAACCCTCCTAAACCTAAAGGACTATAAAGTGGTCGAAATATAATGTGAATTGAAAAGTGTAGGAATTTTAGAATAAGGAATTGAAAAGTCAAATTCTAAATATTAGGAAAATAATTAAATGACTATTTCTAAATATAGGATAAATTACCAAATGACTATCTAGTCCAATGTGAACTCTATTTTAAAAGGATAAAAAAGACGAACAACATTTCGCTAAGGGCCTTCGTTCTTTTAATATAGTATTACCAAATGACTATTTAGTCCAATGTGAACTCTATTTTAAAAGGGTAAAAAAGACTGAACGATATTTCGCTAAAGGCCTTCGTGCTTTTAATATAGTATAGATTGTTAAGGGACTTTGAGATAAGGGCGCTGCAGGAGGACACCTTTTTTATTTTGTTGTTATGTTTTGAAATTAGTAATTTCGGGAATGTTAGCCAACATGGAATGTAGTATAAATACCCGAAAGAAATATTCGATCAAATGTGGAATAATATAATCTCATATTTATGTCACGATCCGGATTTCCCATCCTCGGGAGTCGTGATGGCGCCTACTAATGAGAGCTAGGCAAGCCAAATTTAATTACTTGTCCATTAATAATTTAATCCATTTAACAATTTACGGCAATAATACAAAAACAACGAAATTCAATAATAAGCGGAAGTCTTAACATTATATAAAGCTGAATGGAAATGCGGAAGGTTCAACAAAATCCTCTACCCAAGACTGGTGTCACTGCACTCACGAACTGCTAAGAATACTACACACAAACGTCTGAAAGAGAACATAAGTTGTTTGTCTCTACTACAATGAGATAACAGATAAAAATAAAGGATAGAGGAGACGCCGGGCCTGCGGACGCCTGCAAGGCTACCTCGGGTCTCGCTGCAATGAAGCCTGCTCTCACACTACTGCTGCTGCTACTCGAAACCTAGATCTGTGCAAAATAGCACAGAGTGTAGTATCAGCACAACCGACCCCATGTGCTGGTAAGTGTCTGGCCTAACCCCGGCGAGGTAGTGACGAGGCTAGGACCAGACTCCAGATAAACTGTCACGACCCGGATTTTCCACCCTCGGGAGTCGTGATGGCGCCTATTAATAGGAGCTAGGCAAGCCAATTATCAATTACCTCTTTTAGCGAACATCGTCAATATTAGAAATAATGAAGCATTTAATAATAAAGCGGAAGTCTCAAAAATATTTAACTGAAAGAAATGCGGAAGTTTAACAAAATCCTCTACCCAAGACTGGTGTCACAATACTCACGAACGTCTAGAGAATACTAAATACAAGGTTCAAATGAAACATAAAACTGTCTGCTTCGGTACAAATGATAACAAACTGAATAAAATAGAAAGGTACTCCGGGCCTACGGACGTCATCAAGGCTACGTCGAATGTCCCTGGACTGAAGTCAGCTCCCGAATCCTCTACTGTTGTCCAAAAGCTGCTGCTCTGGCACTGTGATCTGTGCAAAAAGATGCACAGAGTGTAGCATCAGCACAACCGACCCCATGTGCTGGTAAGTGCCTAGCCTAACCTCAGCGAAGTAGTGACGAGGCTAGACCAGACTACCAGATAAACATGTGCAGTTACGAAATATATTGCAGAAAAATAAACAGGAAATAAGCAGTTTATAAGGGAGGGGGAGCATGCTGTGGGGAGGCAACAGTTATAAACAAGGAGTCTAAATTCTAAGGTTATAACAGCCAGTCGAAACTTAAATCCGGAATAAACACACTTAAGCTATAATTTGTTGCGGCGCGCAACCCGATCCTCAATCATCACTGTTGCAGCGTGCAACCCGATCCATAACTATATAGTGTTGTTGCGGTGTGCAACCCGGTCCACAATTATCATTTAGCATTGTTGCGGCGTGCAACCCAATCCACAATTATCACTGTTGCGGCGTGCAACCCGATCCACATATAATTAACAAAACCTCACCCAGTCAACAGCCACAAACAAAGGATAAGGGAGTAACAACTAGGAAGAAGAAATCCCTTCAAGGGAATATAACAACACAACTAAATTTCCGACAAGGGAATAACCATCGACTCTCCCTTTTTCTTACATTTCTCACTTTTAATTCACTGTATCATTCGAGCCATCGTTCCAAAGAGTCATTTCATCTCATATACCTTCTCAATCCGTAACACAACTCGAGCCAATGCTCCACGGAGTGTAGTAATCATAATCTCTGTCTCATGCTCTTTACAGTATATAGAAATCATCAAATAAGCATGGGAGAATCACAACAAATTCAGGATAATCTCAATATAAAGGACACACGGTCATGCTAGACACCGGTGTATAGATACTCGTCACCATGCCTATACACCGTACTCGATAAATAGCAATTAGCAAATAAGACTCTACTCCTATTCCCTCAAGCCAAAGTTAGACCAAACATTTACCTCAACTTCCACGGCTAAATCAATCCACAACGACCGCTTTCCCTCTCGAATTCGGCTCCAACTCAATCAAATCTATGAAATAACGACTTTACAACATTAATATAAGCTAAACAAATCAAACCCAATGCCTAAATATAGTTTCCCAACCTTTCCTCCAAAAATTCCAAAATTGACCCCGGGCCCG